CAGCCCAGCCATTCGTTCCGTCTACCCATTCCTCTTTGCTAAGCCGTTCCTTCCCATCAGCAGCTAGTTGTCGGGCTCCTAACCGAGATCCAAGGAGTCCAAGGTCGGCTGTTTCAACCCACCATCCGCAGGACAAAGATGAGGCTTTCCACTCCTGTAAGGATTTCCAGCTTGGGGAACCACAGGGTCCGTTCTGCTCTGTCCTATAGGGTCGCTATGAGCTGGAATCCACTTGATGGTAGTGAGTTTGGAGGTTGTGTTGTGTTTTAGCAAGTCCTCGGCTTAGTAAGGCACTTGGAAATAACGATGAACAAAAGCCGCTGCAGACCTTGCCCTCGAGGCCTCGACAGCCCTGTGGTGGCACAGATATTAAGTAATGAGAGGAAAACATTCTCAGAAGGTCGATCTTTTCCTTGAAGAATTTAGAAGCAAAGTTCGCCCTTTAATGGAGTACAGACTCGGTTGTTTCTAGTATATTCAGAGTTGTGAAACCCTCACCACCGTCCAAATTTGGAAGATTTTTGTCATTTCAAAAAGAAACCCTGTCTCCATCAGCAGTCACTCTCTATTCTTTCTTCCCCTGGCCCTGGCAGCCACCCCATGGCATTCTCTCTCTGTGGAGTTATCTCTTCCAGACACCTCACATGGACGGAACCATGCAGAATGTGACCTTCATGATTGGTGCCCTTATGTAACATCATGTTTTCCAAGTTTGTCCGTGTTGCAGCATAAATCAGGATCTCATTGTTTTCTTTTGGGGATTGTGGTAAAATAGGTAGAACTAAGTTTACTGTTTTAATCACATTAAGGTACACAATTTAGTGCATTCTGTACATTCACTGTGTTCTGTGTAACCAGCACCATGATCCAGTTCCACAACTTTTTCGTCACTCCACGTGGAAGTCCTGGACCAAATAAGCATCGCTCTTTATCCCTTCTCCCCCCAGCCTGGGGCACCTGTTAACTGCTGTAGGCCTCTGTGGATTTGCACATACTTTCATATGGAATATAGATAGATAGACACAGATAGATAGATAGATAGATAGATAGATAGATAGATAGATAGATAGATAGATAGATCCTTTTGTATTCGACTTCTTTAACTGAATATATATGTGTTCACAATTCCTTCATGTTACAGCATGTATCAGTACGTCATTCCTTTTTGTTTTGTTTT